TACTTGGCCCTACCTGAATTGCATCTGGACACTTTGTGGTAAGTGTGGACACCTACTCCATAAATGGAGAATCAAGGAGAGTTTGGGTTGTGATTGTGGTGTGATTTTTCAGATGGTGCAACAAATTATGGGTGATTGCCCAATTAGGTCATTTAATGACAGTCTAAAATCAGCCCATGTAACTTTCCCTGAAGCAGTTGAATGGCTAGCAAATTTAGAAATTAATCTATGACTGTTTTAATCCTAAAATGTGATATGAAAGAAGACGACCACCTCCATCATTCAGGAGCTTAAAGGAGAGTTGCCAAACTGTGTGGCTTGGGTGACTTCTGGCAGGACAAGGAAACCTAATTGTAGCCACCCTTGTAGTTCCAAGGGCACCAAATTAATCTGAATCACTTTTTAGGATTTAGGCCTCTAACTCCTGAGTCTATTTTATATGCCTATGGAGGTAATTTTAGTCTAGCCTCTATTTTCCAAATTGGTTTTATCTTCTAACCTTTTGCTGCTTAATTTCAATTTTGATAATGATTTTGATGGTGCACACTTAGCAAATTTGTGGATGACACAAGTTTGATGGAATTGTAGACACTTCAGAGGGCAAAGTAGGGTTCTAAAATAGCCTGGATAGACTGGAGAAATGGTCTGCAATCAATCATGAGATTCAACAAGGACAAGTGGAAAGTCCTGCACTTGGGATGGAATAACTACATCTGCAAATACAAAATGGGGACCTACTGGGTAGGTGGCAGTATTGTAGAGAAGGACTCGGGAGTTCTGATGGAACATAAGCTGAATATGAACCAAGAGTGTGCTTTTGCTGCAAAAAAAAAGCTAACAGAGTATCTGGTAATATTAATAGGAATATCTCTTGCAAATTGAGGGAAGTAATTCCTTCTCTCTATTCAGCACTAGTGAGGCCTCATCTGGAGTACTGTGTCCAGTTCCTGGCCCCCCACTTCATAGTTTCATAGTTTGTAGGGTCAGAAGCAACCTGAGCAGATCATCAAATCCAACCCCCTACCATGGCAGGAAAGAGTACTGGGGTCAAATGACCCCAGCAAGGTGTTCATCTAGCCTCCTCTTAAAGACCCCCAGGGTAGGAATCAGCACCACTTCTCTTGGAAGTTGGTTCCAGATCCTAGCTGCCCTGACTGTGAAGTAGCACCTCCTGATATCTAGCTTAAATCTACTCTCTGCCAGCTTGTGACCATTATTTCTTGTCACTCCTGGGAGTGCTTGGGGGAAACGGGGACTCCCCCAATGCCTGCTGGTCCCCCCTGACTAGTTTGTACACGGCTACTAGATCCCCCCTCAGCCTTCTCTTGTGAAGGCTGAACAGGTTCAGGTCCCTTAGCCTTTCCTCATAAGGGCCTGCCCTACTGCCTCCGATCATGCGAGTGCCCCTCCTCTGGACCCTCTCCATGTTGTCCACATCCCTCCTGAAGTGCAGTGCCCAGAACTGGATGCAGTACTCCAACTGTGGCCTGACCAGTGTTGCATAGAGGGGGAGGATCACATCCTTGGACCTGCTTGAGATGTATCATGACAAGATGTGGTCTTCCTGACTGCATCCCCACACTGTCAGCCCATGTTCATTTTGACTTCAAGAAGGATGAAGAAATTTGGGAAGAGTCCAGCTCATGGCAACAACAATGATAAAGGGCTTGGGAAACAAGTCTTATGAGGAAAGCCTGAAAGAACTATGGTTTATTTAGCCTAGAGAAGAGAAGACTGAGGGGTGATTTCATAAATGTCTTCACATACCTGAAAGGTAATAATAGGGAGGATAGAAATGATCATTTCTCTGTGACTATAGGGTACAGGACTAGGTGCAACACTCTTAAGCTACAGCAGGGGAAATTTAGCCTGGAGATTAGGAGAAACTTTCTGACTATGAAGGTGGTCACGCATTGGAACAGGTTACCTAGATAAGTTGTGGAATATCCATGCTTGGAAACTTTAAAAAGCAGGTTAAACAGGCACTAGACATATTAGTATCCCATGGCTTAGTCAAGAAACTATGCAGTGGGGGGCAGGCAGCTCAAGGCAGAATCATCAGTGTGGCTAAAGGCAGGACTAGATGATCTTTTGAGGATCTTTCCAACTCTACTTTCCTATGATCCTGTGATCTCATGTGTAGAACTTACACTAGTACCATTTACACTGGCTACATAAAAGTAAATATAGGGTTATTCAGTGATGTTTATGTCATTACTTGGACTTTAGGAAGGCCCTTGACCCAGTGTCTCATGAGGCTTTCAAGATAAAACTAGGGGGTAATGAGCTCAACAATTCAATGGTCAGATGAGTGGAAAACAGGCTGCAGGGTCAGACCCAGAGAGTATTAATAGTTGGATCTGTGTCATAGTGCTTAGGTTTGGAAAGGACCTAAACAGATCATCAGGTCTGACCTCCTACCTGGGCAGGAACGAGTGCAGGGTCATAACACCCCAGCCAAATATCTGTCCAGCCTCCTCTTGAAGACCCCCTCAGTAGGAGAGAGCATCACCTCCCTTGGGTGTCGACTTGGCAGAAGGTAGCCAGTGGGGTCCCCCAGGGTTTGGTACTGGGACCAGTGCTTTTCAACATCTTCATCAATGATATGAATGTGGGGGGAAAAGCACACTGGCAAAGTCTGCTGATGACACTAAGCCATGGGGAAGTGCGGCCATGCCTCAAGGTAGGCTGATGATCCAGGTGGACCTAGACAGATTAGTTAGATGACTGGACCAGAACCAGATGCTGTTCAACACTGAAAAGTGTAGTGTGCTCCATAGGGGAAGGAAAAATCTGCAAGAAACTTACAGGCTCAGTGGTGCTACGCTACCTAGCACCATGTCCAAAAGGGACCTGGGGGTCATAATTGACCATAAAATGAATATGACCCACCAGCGTGCTGCTACATTTAACAGAGCAAACAATACACTGGCAAGCATCAACTGATGCATCTCAAGGAAAACTAAGGAAGTTTTTCTACTGCTCTACTTGGCATTAGTGAGGATGCAGCTGGAGTACTGTGTCCAGTTCTGGGCACCACACTTCAAGAAGGATGTGGAGAAGCTTGAGAGAGTCCAGGGAAGAGCCACTCACTATTAGAGGCCTGAAGACAAAGCTAGACAAGGAAAGGCTGACAGATATGGGACTGTTCAGCCTAGAAGAGAGAAGACTTTGGTGGAATTTGGTGGCAGCTTACAAATATATTAGGGGTGAGCATCGGGGCTAGGCAAACAACTATTCACCAAAGCGACCCAGCAGAAAACCAGGAGCAATGGTTATAAACTCCTACAAGAAGGTTTCAGACTGGATAGAAGGAAAAACTTCATGGTTTGTGTGACCAAACTCTGGAATAGACTCCCAGTGGGGGTGGTGCAGGCACCTACCCCAGAGATCTTCAAAAGGAAACTGGATGCACACCTTGCTGGGGTTATTTGATCCCAGCAGTCTTTCCTGCCCAGAGCAGGGTGGTAGGACCCGATGATCTCATGAGGTCCCTTCCAGCCCTAAACTTCTGTGAATCTGTGAACTCTAATAGTACTGAGCATGGGGCCTTCATCTCCTGGAACCTGGTGCTGATGGTGAGAGCAGCAGGAACAGTGGAAAGTCTTTATTAAACAGTGAATCTATGAATTTTAATACATTTAACAAAGGAGTTTGACATAACTGCCCCGCCCCCCCATTGTATACAGACTTAAGCTAAGTCATGGAAATAGCTTTTTCAAAGTCACACTGTGTCCAATGTGTAACAGGGTGCTCAGTTAGCCAGCAGAGGAATAGACAACACAGGGTGCTCGGTTAGTCCCAGAGACATAGGCAGCCTGCAGCTGACTATTATCTCAATCAGGCAATGTTGCCTGATTGGGGAACAGGGCCCAGTTGCTATATAAAGGCTGGGCCCTGAACAACAGGGCAGCAGTTTTCTGCCAGCAGCCAGAGAGGTACCACCAGCCCAGCTGCTGCTGCTGCTCAGTACAACTCACAGGTAAGAGAGGAGCTATTGGGGAAGGCAGGCAGCTCCTTGTCCTAGGTACAACAGAAAACTGCACCTGTTGGGGAAGGGTAGCCTGGTGGAATTCCCTGTGGGGGAGTGCACGAGAAGTGCCAGGCCAGTTACCTCCCTAATGAAAGGCAGGTATGGGATGCCTTCTAACCCTAGCCCCCACATCCCTAGTGGGTAGTTGGTCATTGCAGGTGAAGCCCAGGCTTACTGCAGGTACTGAGGTAGGGCCCAGGCTAGGAAGAGGGACCTGTGGCAGTTCCCAGACTTGCAGTGAAGTCTGAGGATGCATTAGGGAGCTGGGCGTTAGTTTCTGGGGTGGGGAACAGAGGGGCTTGGAGCCTGAGGACAGGGCTTAGAGCCTGAGGCTTACAGGCCCAGAGATAAGGCTTGGAGCCCAGGGTGGGGCTTAGGGCTCTTGAGTGTATATTAGAAGCAGAGAGGCTGGATGTGAGGCAGAGTATTTTAAGGCCAGATGTATGTGCCAGACTGAAGGCTGGGTGTCAGGCCTCTCTGAGTTGGAGGCTGGGCAAGGCCCCACAGAAGCAGGGAGGCTGGGTGAGGCTCCCTAAGCTATAAACCAGGTGTCAGCCTAAAGAAGCTGGAGGCCAAGTGCTAGGCTGAGCAGGCGTGGGCTGGGTGTTAGGCTATGGAACATCTTCAAGGCTTAGAACATGATAAGGAAAAGTTGGAGTCATTTATATAGGCCCTTGTCATCAGGACAGGTAAAGGACAGCCTCCCACCTGGTGAACATCCTTCAATCAAGAACATCAAGGTGTAGTAGGCAAGATAGTTGGGTGGTTTGCCCAGAAGCAAGTAAGCAGGCCTACACTGAGACCAGCCCTGGGATGCCCACTTGCTTCAACTGGCAGACCCAAAAGTCAGTTAGTTCTCTTTATCATGAGCCAGAATATTATTTATAAAGTCACCATGCACTGCATTTCATAAGGGGACTTTCCCACTATTTCAGTGACAATAATTAAGTTATTTGCTCAAACTCACCCTTAAATGATGACTGTAACCTTGTCCTGGGAAGCTTTTCTCCTGGTCTATCAGTATGAATCCAATGAAAATTTGTTTTTTCACTTGAAATCTGTTCTGAAAAAAATAGGAAAGAAGATTGGAATGCAAGAAAATGGAACCAATCAAAGAATTTTGGGATTAGTTATGGTAAGAGATAAGGCAAAGGAGATCAAAATTGAAAGAGGAAGATCCATGAGGCCAATACCTGTTCTTCAAACATATTTCTAGACCTATCTGGCAATCTCCTGTTAGTCTCAAATGAATATCAAACATGGATTGAAAAATATGTATGTTAGAAATGGCAGGAGCAGTAGGAGTAAAGAGACCAGTCACCAAGGAGCAAAATTTGGGGCACAATCCTAGATACTCCAAAGACCTCTGGAACTGAAAGTAGTATACATCACTTCTTTTTCTGGTTGGTGTACCTGCTTTAGGCATCTGTCTTAGATGTAATAATTCTGTCTGTATCAAATGAAACTGATATGATCTGCTACAGTGTAACTGTTAAGTCTGCATGCTCCTGCACAAAATCATTGCTACTTTAACACTGTTTCATTCTGGATTCAAGTTACAGTGATTTTTAGCTAATTTGTAGCACTACAGGGACATGTGCCCAATGTTGAATAAACCAGGCAGTTTTTCTGTGTCTTCTCAGCACAAGCAATGGGAGACTTTGAAAACTTCATCCTGCATCAGTATTTGACAATCAGGACAAGAGACCTTTTCCGTAGTGTCCTTAGTAACCCCCAAGATACAGCCCAAGAATGCCCTAGAAAATTTGGATTGGCTTTTTAATCTATGAGGTCTACTAGGTTCAGAACAGGGCAGCAATAGCTTTTGAAGTTTTATGAGGTATCTGAGATGCTGTACTAGTTTTCCAGAGCAGAATAAAAATAGTGTTAATAGCAAGAGGAAGAAAATTATATGTCCTAGAAAGTCAGTCAAATATCATTTATATAAATTCACCATTGCTGTATTATTTCTACCATATACAGTTAACGGATGTTAATATATTTGTAGCAGCATTTAAAAAATGGACCCACCTGAAAGAAAGGAGAGGGCTGCCTGGCAGAGAAACAGAGTTTGTCCCAGCGGGGACACTGTAGGCTCTGAGGGCAAGTGAAGCTGCTGTGGAGGCAACCCTGCTGGAAGTGGGAGGGGTGATGTAACCCCAGCAAAGCTTTGAAAGAGAGCCGTTAGCAAAAGCCCGGGAAGGGCTCTAGGCTGGGATTGGCTGAGAGGCTTGGATAAAAGGGGGGAGCAGTTTTCCTGCGGGAGGGAACAAGAGAGAGAGAGAGAGAGAGAGAGAGTGAGGCTGAGAGACAGGCTGGAGACTGGAGACAGAGTCTCAACACAGCAGTTCCTCGGAGAGCCCCTAGGAGTGCCCTGAGGAGCAGCAGAAAAGGCTGAGAAAAGGGAGACATGCAGTATCCAGTTCCTGTCTCCAGCCCGGGAGCCTGCGGGGGGCAGGGTCAGAGAGGGGCTGTTTGTGTGAAGACTCCAAGCCAGGAAAGACCTGCCTGCAGCCTGGTGAATGGCTGGGTGAGCACAACAGAGCCGGGGAGGGGGGTACTGCCAGAGTCTGCCCTGCTTTCCCTGAGGGGTGAGGGGCTCCAGGGGCAGGAAAAGCCCGGGGGGGGCTG